TTTGTGGAAATACTGTGCATTCCTCGATCTGACGTGCACCTTCTCTTGTTCAAGCAAATGTTTACGATGCCCAATTGAGAGCATGCCATTGTGTGCACCCCCCTAGGCATCATGGACTCATTAAGAAGCATATTGTAGCAAAATGCCTCAGTGATTCACCTAACATTTGTATTGGGTAGTGGACTTTCTAAAACAAGATTTAGAGAGGGGTATGGTTCACACAAGGTGCCCACCTTAAAAGCAAGGTGTACCTCTAAATCCCCTCGAAACATGCAGTTTCAGTACCAAAAACTATTACAATGGCTTCAAAATGTATTTCAACCTAAAATTTAAAGCTCAAAAAATGGCATGGATGAAGCAAATCTAAAGTCCTCTAAAAAACTTGAAAATGGATGGTATAAATTATATGATGCAAAACACATTATTTTAAAAACTCCATATTCTTAATTTTTATATGCATATATCTTGACGTCGATGATTATTTGGAACTTTTTTCATTGTCAGAATAATCTTTTTTTTATTGATTTTTGAGGTGCGCCTTAAAATACAAAATTGACACCTTATTATATAATTTTTGTCCTTTAGAAAGATGTACCTCAAGGCACGTATTTGCATGGTTATGAATTGCTTTTCCTCCTTGGATGGATATCCACAATCCAATTCTAAGTAAGCGGTGTGTTCTATCATAGGTTCCTCAGTCACCATATTATGCACTGTATTTTTTTGACAGATTGCTCTTAGAAAATCTACAGTGGTGAACCCTAGTCCAAACCCCAAAATTTATAGAGAAAACTTAGAAAACCTAATTGGAAGGAGGATAGGACACAAACATGCTGGCGAAGTTATTGGAACTGGTGCAGGGATATTGACAAGTGGCTTCTTTTTTTTATAAACTTTATAAAGAGGAAGTTATACAATAAAACCATTTATTTTTTATCTCTCATATGATGCTGTCGATGATGATGTTTTATCTCTCGCATAAAAAGATGGCAATCACCCATAGCTCTTTTATCTCTCATCTAATACTGTTGATGATGATTTTTATCTCTCTCATAAAAAGATTGCAATCACCCATAGCTACTAGCTATGAAATCATGTTATTGGGGATATGGACAATGCCCCACTGATCTCAATTTTCAACTAGATTGGTCTCGGTCCCTTCATACATAATCATCCGCTTTTTCCCAATCGGTGGCAATTTAAGGCTTTTATTTCACTCATTTTTCAAAGGTATTAAGGTTTAAAATTTCGTAAAATTATATGGATTGTATTGTACATTTCTATTTCAAGTCCATCAAATTTAAGGGAAAAGATCGTATGGACAGCTAATTTACAACTTGCTTCAAAGTAGCTCCTCCCAACATTTCTCTTTCAAGCAGGTTTCCCTCTAAAACAATTAACATATCCCCTTTTCCCCTCCCTTCCCTCTTTTTTTCGTTATTTTACAGGAATTTTGACATCAACAATTTCTCTTATACCATATAAAATATTCTCCTCCCATTCTTTTTTTTTAATCTTCATGTGGCATAAGATAAACTATTGATGTCAAACTTTATGAAAAAAGTGAGAAAATAGGGGATGGATGGGATGAGGAGGTACATTGATAGTTTAAGGGAAAATGGGTGTGGTTTGTCTAAGGGCACAACCTTGTAGAAGTAAGATTATAGTATTCTACATTATTTATTTTAATTAGATAATGTAGATTCGACACATATTTTAAAATAGCATCTCGTCTTTTAAGACAACATCAAATCTTCACCGTTCAAACAAAATCGATGATATACATTAATGCAACTTTACTTCTACCATTAAGATTACATCTTTGTATAAACTTTTTTTTTTTCTAAATTTAATATAGATATAGCTTTGGATATTATGCTACAATCTGGGTGTCAAACACTATTATAGCATATTGGCCCCAACCAATGCGATCATCACAATATGGTATCAACCACAAATGGTTGAGGGGTAGGGTTCTCAATTTGACGGAGCATGGGAAGATGTTTAGCACACTTGGTTATTGATGTCGAACATTGATGAGAATGGGGTTTGGATCGTGGTGGTAGCACCACCAACATCCTAGCTAAGATCTAGGTTTTTATATTCACCTAACACATTTAATGACCGTTAACGATTTTATAAAATAAGGAGGGACCTGTCATCCTGACTAAATTACCCCAACATATGATAGGTGCTATTAGACCGTACGAAATCCAAATCCCATAATTAACTATTAAGTGGTCTCATTATCTTATTGTGATACACAAATTGTAAGAAATAATATATTTTGGCTACAATAAAAAAAAGGAAAAAGTGAAAAGGTCACAATAACCACCATTACTCATGGGGTCTATCACCGTCCATTGGTTGGGAAACGATGGACAAGAACGTACAATCGATTAAGTGAATACTAGTGGCGCCCATTCCTTCCAACATCGCATAACTTATCCATGGAAGGTATGACAAATAGGTTGTGGAGTTTTCATGACCATATGAATCATATCATTGTTGTATATGATTATATAGATTAAATAGTTGAGATAAGGTTTGGATGATAATGATGATGATAAATCATATCATTATTTTCAGCAGTTGTTGATTGGCAAAAAGAATCATCAATCTGGATTGAGAACTAGTTATCTGGATGTGGACTAGTGGAGAATGACCCGATTCCCGTCGAAATGTGGAAGCGGTTCGATTATGATAGATGGATAAGGATCTAATGCCAACAGTTGTATCATAGTAGAATGCAAGCACGCTTCTAGAAAACAGTGATTGTGTTATTTGTATGACCCAAAAATTTTGCACACACACTCTCTTCATCTCAGTAATCAATCTAAAAAAAACAAAAACTAATTTGCACCCTTTATGTTGTCAAAATGAGTTCCTTCTAACAATAAATCTAAACCGTCCATTTGATGAATTTAAAGATCTAGGCTGTTATGAATTCAAAATCATTTTTTTTTAATATTGTTAATTTAATGATAATAAAATTATCTAAAAAATTTGAAAATAAAAAGTATCATTCTAAAGCCTAGATCTAAACATCTTACTAAAATGGACGGCCTATATTAATTGAGCTAAAAAAATAATTTCTAAGTTGTTTTTTCAAAATTTTCTTTGGGAAAATTACATAAATATCCATTTTAGTTGTTGTTATTACTAAAATACCAAATACTTTCCGTTATTACTAATATGTCTGTGTTTTAAACTTCATAACATTTTTTTTTAAAGATGAAATTATCCATTTTTCAGTTTTCAAAAACTAAAATCAAGACAATTTCGCTTTGAAAAACCCAAAATTTTAAATTTTCAATTTTTCAAGAACCAAAAATTTTAAATTTTCTTTTTTTTCAATAACTGAAATTTTTTCTCTCTTGTGAACCCTCTGCGTATTCTCTCTCTCGTCTACCGAAAAACCAATCTACGCGATTTGGCAAAGCATCATCTAGATTACGCACATGGAAACAAGTTGTGATATCAGACACTTTGCTTACAAATGAGATTTTGGTCATGAGAAAGATTGTTGAAGATGTTTCTCCTCACCCCAATGTGATCCACTTATATGATGTTTATGAAGATCAAGGTGGGGTTCATTTGATTTTGGAGCTTTTGTCCTGGTTCCTTGGGGCACCATTGGAGTTGGAAAGTTTGGAACACCTGAGCAAGACTTCAATGAGATTCAAAGCCATATTTCATTTTCTAAACAATCTCAGCCTCACAAGGTTTTGGTTGAGGCCGGGCCTAATTCAAAAAAGTTGGAGGGCCTCTTAATTGGCGATAAACCAGAGGAGACTCCTGTTGCAAACAAGATCTATTCTCTTGGATCCAAGATCTCATATTTGGTTTGTTAGAGAGCTCAATGGCTCAAACAAGACCCTTATTTTCCCAATTTCATTACACCCAAGAAACTTAGGGTTTTACTTGCTACGGGGTCCACCTCTAAAGCTTGCAAGGATCCAGTAGGTGATTATTGAAGATTATGGACTTTAGGCTTAGTTCAATGGAGGATTTTACTCACATAATTGATAGTGGTAGAGAGAGAGAGTAGACGACTCAAAAGAGAGAAAAAAAATTTTGATTCTTAGAAAACTAAAAATTTAAAATTTTGGGTTTTTCAAAAACCGAAATTGTCTTGATTTTGGTTTTTGAAAAACCGAAAATAGACAATTTCATCTTTTTTAAAAATAAATTGTTATGAAGTAAAAAAAAACAGACATATCAGTAACAACACAAAATATTTAGTATTTTGGTAATAATGGAAACCAAAACGGATATTTACATAATTTTCTCATTTTCTTTTATGTGATTGTTCATTAGAATGAAAATAGTGTATATTTTAAAATTTGGATCAAACAAATGACCTAACATGGTTTTTGAAGATTGTTGCATTATATTACTATGTAACCGTTGCATGAAATTATTCCCCTTGATATATTTGCCCGATTTTAATTATGATTATTTAATTCAATCGTTGCATGAAATCATTCCCCTTGATATATTTGTCTGGTTTTAATTATGATTATCTAGATTTTTTAAATCAAACTTATTTCACTAATTATTTTTAAAATCAAACTTATTTCACTAATTATTTTTTAAATCAAACTTATTTCACTAATTATTAGATAATTCGGATCGCTGATCCAAACTACATTTCCATAGCGCCTGCTCTTCCGGCCTATCCTGATTTGGGAAGACATAGCTAGAAAACAAGCCGAAAAGTCCAAAGAATAAAAGAGGTCATTTTCGACATGATGCGACGTGTGGGGGTCCTTCCGTAATTTCCTTCGAAGAAAGGAGCAGTTTAAAGCTGGATTGCCGAGAAAAGTCAGAGTCCAAATACAATCCTACGTGTGACATGACGTGGCAACTGACGTGTCCGACAGAAGACAAAAAGGCGTCTACGCGGGTCCCGCCAACGCTTCTGATAGCGGGTACGGATACGGATACGGAAGCTATGTCTGCCATGGCTACTGCTTCCTTTTGCTTTTTGGTGTGGAGTCCACTGCAGATAGTCGTGGGTGTTGTCCCTTTTCCTGCAAACCCTAAACCTAACCCCATCCCTAACCCTAGTTCTTAGAGAAGAGGAACCCAATTTCATTGCTCTTTTGTATCAGGGGATTTTCGGAGCTCTCTGTGCATTAGCTGTTGGCCGTTGCAATGGCTAATGGAACCTGAAACCCTATTAAAATAGGATTCTAGCGTTTTAAAGCTCTGTTACTTGTTGTTAACCTATTCTTAGGGAAGAGCACCTCCAGCATTGTTTTTTTTATACATGTGCATCAGCGGATCTCAGAGCTGTGAGTAGTAGAAGTCATTGCAATGGGGTGCAGACCATGCAATATTAGAAATTTGTGAATCTCGGGTTTTGAAGTTCAGTAACAGTGGCGGCCATGGCGAGCTTCTCCTCTGACGAGGAGGCATGGGATGATCAAAGCCGTAGTGAGAGGTGTGGGAGTTACAGTGTGAGCGCTGACGTGAGTGAGTCAGAGAGTCTGAGTAGCTTCTCAGGGAGACGAGAAATGGCAAATAATTCAGGTTGGGATGAGGCTGGAACCAGTTGCTCGCGGGGTTCTTCCCCTTTTGGATGGCCTGAATTTTCAAATTCTGGTAAGCCAGTGGTTGATTTGTCGGCCATTGCTGGTGGTGATGTGGTGGTATGGGAACAGAGGAAAGAGAAACGAGACAATGAAATATCTGGTACTCTCTCTCTCTCTCTCTCTCTGATTGTGCACGTTTTGATATCTTCCTCTGGGTTTATGGAGATCACGTGATCTCCATCTCTATGAATCTGCGCAATTTTCCAATTTTCCCTGGTTTGAAATGGAAATCGTGCTGTCCCTCTCTCTCCCAATCTGCACATTCTTCCTTCTTCATGTGAATAAGTACGGAAATTATGTCCTCCCTCTCTTTGAACCTGCAGATTTTGTTTCTTTTTTCTAGTGCTGTTTGATATGGAAATTATTTGTTCTCTCTCTTGAATCTGCACAACTTGCCTTCTTTCTCATATTTGATCAGGACATTATGTGATCTGGATTGCAATTTTTTCTCTCTTTTCTGGATTGCATTTTATTCTGGTTTGATCCGGTATTATGTTCTCTCTCTCTATGAATCTGAATTCTATATGCGTTGATTTGATCTGGAATACGTTTCTTATCTCTCTGAATCCGCATTTCTGTCTGAATCTGTCTCTCTTATCTGGTTTGCAATTTTTTTATGGTTTGATCTCGTAATTATGTGTTCCTTCTCTCTCTATGGATCTGAATTCCATTGCATGGATTTGATGAGCAAATTATTATTATTATTATTTTCTCTGAATCCGCCTTTCCTTTTTCTCTGATTCAATATTTGGTCATTATTTTTAGAGTTTGAGATGATGAAGGAGAGATTTGCAAAGCTTTTACTTGGGGAGGATATGTCGGGTGGGGGGAAAGGTGTATGCACTGCACTTGCGATATCAAATGCTATCACCAATCTCTCTGGTATTACTCTTGTTTTCTTTCATTAGTGTTTCCCCTTGGATATCATTTATTGTGTTTTGAGTTTTATTTTTCAGTCATTTACTATTGCTCTTTTGTTGTTTCCACACTTCGTAATGTGCACCTGTAGATGCATGGGTTTTAATCATTATCTGTACTTAATGGTTTTTTTTTTTTTGGAGGAAATACCTAATACCTTGTTTTTAATCTATTAAATACAACATATAGACAATCCAATCATGTTTCTTATCAAAATTTGAGAATTTCTTTTGTTTCCAAAAGTTTTTCTTTGTTTTCTTTCCTTCTCTTAATGTTTATTGTCTGGATTGTCATCTTCATATTTATGGGGTCAATTAATTGTGACTAATAACTTTTTGGATGGTTCTTTTGTATCAATATTCCAGTTGGTTATGGGAGTTCTCTGTACTTCCATTTACTTGTTTTGTTTGCATAAACTTATAATTACTCAGCCCCAACACAAGCAACTTGAGTGAATCCATGTGGACTCTCCCGAGTCATGTATGCCCCCAAAGAAGGGGTCAAAAATTGCAAAGTAAATTTATAAAAGCTAAAAAATCAGTAAAAATCAATAGAATTTATAAACAACGTTAAAAGTATACAAAAGATGGAATAAAATATATAGAAGATGGAAGATGGAAGAAAAATTAATTTATAGCTGCAAACTGAAAAATCCGAAAAGGGGAAAATAGAAAAATAGAGCATAAAGTGAGAAAAATTCACAAACAGTCGTTAGAAACATAAAAGACTATATTTATACATTATTTAAAAGACTATATTTGTAAAAATTCACAAATATTTATACATTATTTATTACTGATTCAGTAACAAAATGCCTAATTTTTAAGAGTATTTAGTATACCTTAGTTTGTACCTTGAATTCATTTCGGCAGGGTGAGTTACTGGCTGAGTTTGAGTTGACTTGGCCACGTTTTCAAATACTTGCTTGGATTCTTGGTTTTTAGTATAAGTTCGATGCATCAATGTTTAATTTTCTCATGGCAGCTACGGTGTTTGGGGAGCTGTGGAGGCTAGAACCCATGGCCCCACAAAAGAAGGCAATGTGGCATAGAGAAATGGAGTGGCTTTTGTGCGTGAGTGATTCAATAGTTGAATTGATTCCTTCTTCACAAGATTTTCCAGGAGGTGGAATCCTAGAGGTCAGCCATGCATTTACTCATCTCCTTACCTTGTGAGATTAATCACAAACACTGAAATGATTTTTGTGTAAACTTATAGTTTCTCATGAACCAGGTGATGATAACTAGACCTCGCTCAGACTTGTACGTCAATCTTCCTGCACTTAGGAAGCTGGACTCCTTGCTAATTGTATGTCCTCTAGGCCATCTATATTCTCTATATGATTTGAACTGATTTTTTAACAATAATTACCGAATCATACAGTACTATTTAATTCACAGTATGGAGTTTTAGTGATTTGTACTATGTTACATGAAAATGGAATTGTTTGGTTTTGTTGGATATGTAAAGTTTGGGTTCTAATATGTAGGGGACCCTCGATAGTTTTCAAGAGAAAGAATTTTGGTATGTTGATCGTGGGATACTAGTGGAGAATGTGGATGATGGCTACCCTTTGATTAAGAAGCCTTCTCAGAGGCAAGAAGAGAAATGGTGGTTACCCTGTCCAAGGGTTCCACCAAATGGGCTGTCCATTGATGCAAGGAAGAGGTTGCAACATACCCGAGAGTGCACGAATCAGATTCTTAAGGCTGCAATGGCTATCAATAGCAATGTCCTGGCAGAGATGGAGGTTCCTGATATTTATATTGAGACTTTGCCTAAGGTTCTGACTCATTTTCTTTCTGCTTTCATTTTATAATTGTCTAGATTGTTTAAGCATTGATTTTCAGTTTCAAGATTTGAATCTCTGTCAGAGATAATGTTTCCTTTTGGCAAAACTTATACTATCCACATTGATACCTTGTTCGTGGGGCTTTATATATATCCCGCTCTTTCCATGCCAACATAAAAACACACCCACATTTGCTTGTTGCTTGAACCTTCCTCATTCTATATCTTGGAATAAAAAGAGTCATGTGATTATGTCAATTTTCTGGGGACAAAGTTTATAGCATGGGAATGAATTTTCCTCTGAATTTATGGTAATCTGATTTTGTTGTGGTTCTAGTGACATCTAGATCATTAGCGGCTGGAAACAGGGCATATTGGACATGCTGGGGTCTTATGCATTGTGCAATCTTGTTCATGTGATAAATTTTTTTATAATTTATCATAAGAGGTCTGGATAATCCAAAATCACCTTCCTTTTCAATCAAGACTCTGAGTTCCTGGCTTCATACTTCTAACCATTATGACACAGCATTATAATTGCCTAAATGCCTTGCCTGCTCTAATATGAATCATCGATTATATTATGCCATCTCCTTGCATAAGGAGTTACATTCACATAAATATGGGCAGAATTGCCAAAATCTCATAAACTATCATGCAGACAAAGGTTTCGAAGGACAATATGTATGTTCTTGAATGGGAACTTGCTTTGTATTCAATATGTGATTTTAATTAAAACATAAAATTAGTGAAGCGGTGCCCACCATTAGTGCAGAACTTTGGTCTTGTTGCATGGAATCTCTTGGATCCTCTCCTAGATAAGGGAGCATAGAGTCCACAGACCAAGGTTATAATCCTTTCAAGAGTGGTGTACGTTTGTTCTTTCACTTCATGTTTTCTTCTCTCATTCTTACTAAATGAACTTTTATATTTTTGCTTGTATTTGAGCTTGTCACATGTTCTATGTACATCTGTTCTTGTGTACCCTGTGATTAAGGCTGAGTCATTGTGTCAGTGTTTGTGGTCTCTTTACAAGAACTTCACTTCACAACAAGATAGTGCTATTGGACACTAAAAAATTAAAAAAAGCTTACCACCCGAAGTAAATGTGCTGATTGAAGTGTTGTTTGTTTGCCAAGTAATTAACTTCATCATCGGTGGATGACTTTGTTTGTAGATTTACTCCCTCTGAAAAAGAAATGCCATGTAGATCTTAATGCCAGCCATTAAATTTTTTTCTGAATATAGCAAAAGTTAATTTTAAAGGAGGCTATGTATTCCTCTCTCTGGAGAAGAAGTGGCATTAAGTAAAACAATAATCCCCATATCCAAGAATTTAAAAATTTATGTTTTCATTCTTTAGGTTAAGTCCAACAAGTTGCCCAAATGTTCGACAATCCACATGAGTTTCTTGTGTGTCTTTGCCTCCTAGAAATGAGAAGCGATTCACTGGTAGTGACTCAGCTCTTCCAACATCCCTACCAAAAGTGGGAGTATGCACTCATGATGACTTTTCACCCTACCTGTGATGGAAGTTTTTCTGGTACAGTTTGTAAACAAGAGCAATATGGTTCCTCTGTAGAAGACCATAGGCATGTGAGCAAAAAACATTATCAAGAGGAAATAAAATGATGGAGAGTAACCTATATTTTTTGTTGTATGCAAGGAGATTGTCCATTGAATCTTGGGTTCTAAAGAATTTGGAAGCCTGCAGCCCAATCGCTGAGATGGGTGACTCTTTTAATTCTATTACTGAGACCTGGTGAGGTAAAAAGGGTTCCATACCCCTTATTTTTAGGTTTCATTTCACAATGGACCCAAGGTTTTAAAAGATATCTTGGGGTATAAAAATTGTAGATTTTATTTATTGTAACCTCCTGAGCTAATTTAAACTTGGTTTTTAGGCCAAACAAATCTAAAAAGACGTGTCTTTTCCAAAAGCCATCCTCCCAAATTTCTAGAGAGAGAAGGGCTTCATGGAGGTGAATGGTTACCAGAAGGAAAAAGAAGGGAGGTGTTTGGAGAAATTCAGGAGAGAGAGAGTGAGTGACGCAGGAAGAGAGAGAGAAAGAGAGAAGTTTGGGGTATATAAATGAAGAGAGAGAAAGGATTGGGTTTAGAAAGAGCATGTGTTTCTCACATTTGTTTATGTGTAAAAATAGGTTTAAAGTGGCCAAGGGGTTAGAAGATATCTTTTGAAACTTTAGGTTTATCAACAAATGAAACCTACAAATAGGGGATATGAAGATATTTTCCCAGGAAATTATGCCATTTAGCACTGGGAGTAGTGCAGAGATCTGATGTCTTCCCATCAAGGAATTTCCCAATGTTGTTTTTGGGTAATTTAAGGATGTCCTCTTGCTGATACTTCTGAGACTTTGATTCTATCTAGTGTTGCCTGTGGTTATCAACTGAAGAACCTGATGTGATGTGTGGCTCTTGATCAACTGCCTTCTTCAAGTGACCTGGCCTTTACATGGTTCCATTCTGTTGTAATGGCTTTAATTTCACCCACCTACTTGTAGTGCTTGAGTCCACATTTCATGTCTCTGATTATTGGATTGATTAGAATCTCTGTCAAATATTTATCTGAATTTGACTTTATGGTTGGATTAGCTTGTGGATTCCTGTCTAATAGAATCGGACCCCATGAAACGTTATGTCATAGTTTCATGCTGGATGGGAGAAGTTTTTATTTCTTTGTAGTTAAGTCCTTCAATGTGGTTAACTGTACTTGATTTGCTTGCTAGGTGTAGTTGTAGCTCATCCAACTAGAGAGTGTTCAGTTGATATTTATATTTGTAAGCTCAGATTCTAAAACCTTCCATCTTAAGAATTAGAAACATATTGAACAAAATATAATTTTCGGGGAACTTAGTAGTAGCCCCAATAGGCGATAAAGTGAGGGAAAGTCGACGTAGGTCATTTGGTCATATACTATGTCAACCTAGAGCAACACCGGTTAGGAAGGGGTGATGTAGTTCAAGTGGAAGGCTCTCTAAAAGGAAGAGCAAAGCCCCAAAGGGCATGGATGGAAGTAGCGGGAAACGATAATGTGATTCGTAGTCTAATTGAATGGCAGAACATGATTCATGTAGCTAATCCCAAATAGTTGGGTTAAGACTCGGATGACGATGATGATGACGACGAAGATGATGTTTGAATAAAATATAATTTCTTTGAATATTCTTTATCTTTAACTCCGTATTCTACTTAAAACTTGGAGATCGTGTACTTATCAGCATATCTTTGTCCTATTAGAAATAAGTTCTCACGTTTTTCCTTTTGTTGGCTGGTCATTCTTTACTTGAAAGAGTATTTGTAACATGGTTCTTCAATTATTGTATGCTTGGTACCTATCTCTCTCTCATTTGCCAACTATGTGTACAATCTCCTTCTGAGGGATTGTCCAACCAAGATTCATGTTGAGTGCTATAAGATCAATCAACTCTATAAAGTTTGTACCACAGAAAAGATTAACAGATAGATATCAATTCTGCATGGTATGGTTGATTTGGATGTTGATACCATGTCATTTGTTCATTCATTCTTGTGGACAGAGTGGCAAGTCTTGCCTAGGTGAGATAATCTATCGCTATATAACAGCTGACCAGTTCTCCCCTGAATGCCTTCTCGACTGCTTGGATCTCTCATCGGAACACCACACCCTTGAGATTGCAAATCGTATTGAAGCTGCCATACATGTTTGGAGACGAAAGTACAGAAAGAAACGCCCACGCCTTGAGAAAAGTGGGAAGCAAACACCAAGAAGGCTCTCATGGAGTGGCAAGGTCAAGGGTTTCGTATGTGATTACGACAGAGCCCAACTCTTTGTGCATAGGGCTGAGACCCTCCTACGTAGCTTGAGGATTCGTTATCCTGGCCTCTCTCAAACAGTTTTGGACATGAACAAGATCCAGTACAACAAGGCATCTTCTCTCTAAATTTCTCTTCTTTCACTTAGATTGAACTAAATTTCTGTAGATGTGTATAATCCAATTAGTGCATCTATATTCTTGCTAAATTTCTTTTCAAGTTTTTATCAATTGGCTCTATTGATGGAAAACTGCTGCCATAGTTCAATTGACAATGTTCCATGGTACTCCAAGGCTGCATCTGCTATCTTTTCCCATGAAAGCTGATTGGAGATTGACAGTGGGGAACACAGTGGCATTCACCAGGGAATAGTTAATTGCTAATCATCTGTCAGTGGGAGTGTACAATGGAAATATCTTGGAGTACCGGATATCTCAATGTCCATTGGGCTATGGTGCACTTACCATTAACTGTTATTTTACGACAGGGAAGATGTGCTGTGATCTGATAGACCATGGAAAGCATAACCCATTTCATCCGATGGTGATGGAGAGAGTGGGATCCATAGGGGACGTAATTTCCCCTTCTGGTGGGTCCCACTCTCTATTCGCCCTTCATCATTATTATTGATAATGGAGACCCTGATGGTCTGTATTCTTCTCAGATTTGAGTATTCCATATAATTTCTTTCTATTTGGTCTAATCAAACAGCTTGTGTCTATTATCTTCCTTAACAGGACGTTGGTCAGTCAATCCTTGAAAGCTACTCGAGGGTCCTGGAGAGTTTGGCCTTCAATATCGTAGCTCGCATTGATGATTTGATTTATGTGGATGATGCAATCAAGAGGTCAGCAGTTGCAACTGTTTCTCCAATGGCAAGGGTCGGAAAGGGTGGTGTTCCCGTACAGAAGAAGATCTCACCCAGCCCTTTTTCTCTCCAAAACACCCCTTATGCTTCGCCTTTTGCAACACCAACCTTTTGTTCGTCCACACCAGTTATAGGAAGCCCCACTAGAGGTCCTCGTTCCCCTTCGACTGGTGGAAATGGCCGGCCCAACCAATGCAGGGGGGAGAAATTGGTGGGTTCCGACATGGATAAGGTGTGGTCCTATGCTGGAAATTTGGGAACTAGGAAGGCTCGCGTTAGTCCTCCGGAGCGTGACTGATGGTATTGTCTAAAAAAAAGATCATTTATTTTTTATACATAGAGGTCACAATCATTATTGTTATTTTAAAGTTTAAATTTCAAAATGAGCAGTTGTAAGAGTTTTATTGAATAGACAGTTTCAAAAAAATATTCTCACACTCCGTGACTCACCTGAAGCCATCCAATCTAACATTTCATGAATGAGAATGATTGCAACCTCCATGTATAAAAAATATATAGTCTTTTTGTGGACAATCCCGCGACTAATTGATGGTATTATTGCAAATGTATGACTATGATGATGACTATGACCACGATCGTTATCATGATAATGTGTTATATATGGATGGGCAAGTATCATTTGGATCTTGTTTGTTCATCTATGGATCATCGGGTTTCATTGCAATTATAAGCTTCTTTTTCATGACTTTTTTTATAAACCTGTCTATGCGATAATGAATGATGAGATGTGACCCCAGCAGGCATGTATGCACCCATTAATCTTGTACACTCAGAAAGTAGCATGGAAATTACAGTGTTTAAGTTTAGAGGAAAGTCTCATTCTTACTTCTTGGTGAGTGGGTTGGTTTCTCACTATTTTTGCTTGTCAATGAGGGAGTGTTCAGTGATGCAATCAGCTATGGAGAGCCAGAGTCAATCGGGTCATCATTGTATGTCGGGTCATCACCATACAATGAAACAATGGATGGCAATGAATGAAACAATGGATGGCAATGAAGAGGTGTGATTCTGCAATGGACCGGGAGGGACATGATTCTGCAACGGTGCGTGTCCTGCTCTCTCTATCACCGTCCATCGGATGGTGATCCTACAGCTTTTCTATGATCTGCCGGATTATAGTATGCTCCCACTGGGAACTTAGAAGACCCATGATGGTCTGCATGCTCACATGTACGACATGCAGCCTTGCAATCAAATATGCTATTACTACTTATGCATGCTCCCGCGATCGTGTTTCCGTAGTTTTCTTATGGGACCGGCTCAAGACGTGCGGTAATAATTGTTCTCATTTCCAACTAATTTGGATGGGTGGGGGAATTATTTAGCAGGATTGATGGGGCAATACTATCATTAACCGAGTACATAATAAGGAATTGTATCACACTTTACCCTTGAGCAGGGTTTAAAAAATCGTCGAGTCGTGTTTGACTCGTTCGGTTCGACTCAGGAATCGTTTCAAGACGCGTCGATTTCGGACAAAAAATAAAAATCGCCAGTGTCCAGAGAGAACCGAGCGATTCTCAATAGTAGACTCGCGATTCTGTTCGAGTCTCAATAGTAGAATCACGAGTCACCCCGAAGAACACGGGTTGGACAATGTTTTTCACGGGGTTTTGTCTTTTTTTGTCATTTTTTGATCGATTTTCAACGTTTTCAGCTTTATGAATGAATATTACAGGCTTTAATTCAAATTTCGAATCATTTTCACTCAATAAAACGAATTAAAAACCACCGTTTTTTATCAACAAATTTGGTTCCCAGAGTGAGTTTTAGGGTTTCCGCCATTTCAGTGATTTCAATCGAAATAAAGCTTCATTTTTTGTAAAATTTCAGGTTGAGTGATTGTAAGAGTGTTGGTCAGAATTTTGTGTTCATAATTTGTGATTATCTTGAAGGAATACATATCAATTTTGAGTATGAAGGTACGGATGCACGAAGAACAGGTAAAAACTCAGTTTTTTTTTTTTTTTCGTCATGCGATCAAAATCCAGTCAATATTTTACAAATCATGTATTAAATTTATAGGGTTTTGATTCTTTGTAGTGTTGTTTATCATTAGATATATTCAATTTGATTATGTTTATTCAATTTGAGTTGGATTTTATAGAAAATAAGAGTGATGTCTGTTAATAAAAAAGTGGATTGTTTTTCTTTTCCAGCCATTTTCACAATTTCAGTAAATGTTTTGCAAAGAATGTGTTAAATTTATAGGGTTTTGATTCGTTATAGTGTTGTTTATCATCTCATGTATTCAATTTTATTTGATTTATTCAATTTGAGATTGAATGATTGATGTCTGCGAAGAACTGCGTTTTTTTTTTTTTCCTCAATTCAATTAATTTTATTTAATATTTTGATAATAATGTGTTAATATTATAACGCTTTGATTCCGTATGGTGTTGTTTATCAAACATGTATTAAATTTGATGTAATTTATTCGATTTGAGGTAGATTTTTGAGTTGGAATGATTGATGTTAGGTTGGTCTGTGAAGAACTGGGTTTTTTTTTTTTTTTATTCATGATCAAATTGTTTGAGAAATCGTAATTTTTCGAAATTTTGTTTTTGATTATCATGAGGAATTAAACAATATTTTTAATTTTTATTGTTAAATTTCTAGTTCAAAAAATTGCATGTTGATAGATTATTTATGCAAAAACATACATGTTATTATAGTTTTAATGCAAAACTGTATTTTTT